GATAGCCACTGTGCAGATTTATTAATATCACAGTTCTGTGGATCATGGCATTATCCAAAAATAGGAGGACATAAATCTGTTTGACTCAAAACTGCCATACTGTCACAGAATATGTCTCACAGAGAGGTGTCTTTAACTGTAACAGGATCAATAACATGCTCACGGAGTAGGAAGGAGATACAGTCTTGGAACCTCACCTGAAATCAGGTAGTTTGTAGAGTTTGCCACTAATTTTCAAGTCAGGTATAAAAAAACAAAGGACGTTTAAAGTCAGGTATGTAATCTGACCCAGATAAAAAAAGAAAACAAAGCTAATTAAACAGCCTTAACCAGGAGAAAATGCAGAAATTCCTTCCACTTTGAGATGGAGAGTAGTTAAGAGAGATGTTATTTTGAAAGACTGCAAACCACATAACAGAAAGGATCAGAGGTGCTCTTCCCCGGCACATCCCCTGGGGCATGCTGAGCCCTCTAACTCACTGCTCTCAACAGCCAAGATTCTGGATCAATGAAGGGAGAAACCTAGTATCATATATTAAATTAATGATGTATGTTGGAGTGGGGGATTTGCTTGTAATACAGGCTCATGATCATAAATCTGTACACTTAAGCCCTTTAACATCCTAAAAAGTATCTGGTGGTAATGTTAACTGAGAGAAATATGGCCTGATGCTTCTTTGGACACGATTATCTATTATTCAGAAGCAGGCTCTCAAGCTACCAATCCATCTGGTACATACACTGGTTATGTGATTTTTGCTACAGGTACTCCTCTTCCCCACTCAGACAGCTCTGTCCCTTGGGGCTATCCTAGTATGAGCAGTTTGCCTCAACATCCAAGGGGAAGCAAAACTGTTTCATGTCGCCTATTCAGAGGGGCTTTCATCCACCCTTGTACTTGTCACATAGGCTGCAGTGACAATCTTTTTCACTTACAGTAGAAGCTGGTAAATTCATTTACCTCTATAACAATTAATCTAACAATTACTGCTTGAGCTAGTACTTATAATAATGATGCTTTTCTTGGGCATCTGTCTTGCAGCTCAAAGATACTTGTTTCCCCAAACCAGTCTACTCCATACACAGACTTAATCCTTTGGATTACTTTATAAAGACCAAGTAAGACTTGGTGCTGGAGTATTTCCCTAATACAGTAGAGTAATACCTGTAAATGACTCTTACACCACTGAGGAAAGTTGTTCTTTATGACAACACTCTACAAGCATTACATGAACTAAGTACATTATACCAATTCAAGGAAAACTTTCCAGAACAAATACATGTATACCACCAGGGACTTCTACAAAAGCAGGTCATGGATTCACATCTTTTCACATGCTTGACGAACCAAACTATGCTGCACTCACATCTCCAGAACTGACCTGACCTTCCCAGTTCTTGTACAATGGCAAGAACACCACTACTTGCTCTGTGAGTCAAAACACCATGGCACCCGGGCAAGTTTTGCACAGCCCTCCTCAAGCAAAATCTCTGAATTTGGGGAATCAAACTCCAGAGTTTGAAACTCTTTGTACTGATCACTGCCAGTCAAATCTGGAGGATGAACTTACTGTATTTTCAGTCATATGGGAACAAACACATACAGAAACTCAGCTTAACACATTTTTAACTTCAAATATAAAGTAGAAAACTCATCTCGAAGTGATTTGACATTCATCCCAAAAAGCACGCAATTAGTAGGCAAAATACCTTACAGAACATAAAGACAATGCACAAACCAAAATAAAATTATAGACTTCCAGTGACTTCAATAGGTTTTGGGTCAACAAGTTCTTTTTTCTACTACATTTCAACTACTCTAAGTTTTCCACTGTTTCTATCTAGTACATTATACATTAGATGTAATTACAAAAGATTTTTAAAATGCTATTTAGTTACCGCCTCTCCTACCATAAAACTGGAGACACTTAACTCTTGTCTTAGGTTAATTCTCAAGTGGTAGGAGGCCTGTTTTCAACAGAATTAATTCCAGTATACCACAGCATAAGTAAAAGCTGCAAATTAATTTTGTTTGATGATTAAAAATTCTTACAAGAGCTACAGTATGGAATCTAATCTGAATTTCAGCCACACAGGAGGAGAGAGGTAGAGGAAGAACATTTTGCAAAACACAGTACATCCTCCATCTTTAATAAACTGTGATCCATATTCACCTCAACTAGCTTTCAATACTCAAATGTGACCTCCAGTCTTACCTAACCAATTATTCTCCTCTCTATCACTGAAGACAGACATCATGCTCTGGAGATGCTATTATTTTTCAACTAGTCACTGATTTCAAGCCTGAAGCTTATGCAAAGTAGCACAGATCTCATCTTGAGATCATTTATAGCATGTTTAATACACAGACAGACATATATGGTAACTAGAGACGTGAACTGAAAGCTGAAATATGAGGAGTATCAAGACATTCATTTCAAGTTGGATCCAAGGGACAAGCTATACCAATGTATATTTTCCATGCAGCACTGCACTGTGTGGATGTACTGGAGCTAGGTTGTTAGGCATGCTCTGCGTGGTGTAGACACGCTGTACGCATTGACAGGATCAGCTCTCAGGGTCTAATTATGTTCTGATAACACAAGAAGGGATGAGGTCTTCTGCTTGCCTGTATATGCTCTGTATACAAGTGTACCTTTCAAGGTTACTAAGAACGTGAGAAGCTTTCATCTCATCAGCAAGCTACCTCCTAAATAGCAAAAGAAGAACAGGCCTTATGTATTTTCTTAACTTCAGCCTGAGAAGGAGTCCTGTTTTCAAAACAGTTAAGCTAACTGCACTTTTTTGTGCAGAAATAAATCTCCCCAACCTCTTACAACGGTACATTAAACATCCCTACTTCAATTAGCCAACAACAGTTTTAAAACCCCAATGATAGCAGTGCATTCACTCCTTTGAAAATGTTGGTTTCGGTCCCTAGAGAAAAGCAGCTGCTTTGTAATCTTAAGTCTTTGTACTGGTAGGTCTAAGATCATCAGTGCCATTGTATTTATCTTCCTGTTCATTCAGCATGAGAGTTGAGTCATTGCAGCCTCAGAGAGTTCTCCTTTTCTGCAGCTTTGGTCTCAGGAGTTGAATAAATGATGGGAAGAGACAATACTAAAAGTACTATTCCAGAAATACAAATTAAGATCAAATCATGACTATGTAATAATCAGGACAAGAATTGAGCCATGTTGTGAACAACTTTATTTAAAAAATACGTTGAATATATTTCAAGAAGTGCTCAGCTGCCCTTGATAAAATGGACGAAGACGAAGGGTGCTTTTGCCTGTTCACTCTGCAAGTCCATGCTTAGGGGCTTCCTCTAGGATGAGGAGCAAGACATCTCTGTGTGATTTAAACAACAGGTATTAGTTCAACTCCCCTTGCAGATCAGAGCACAGGTACTACACAAGGTGCTCTCATGCTGAAGATATCCCATTCATTTAGTCTATACGTTGTACTAGAAGTAAACAAAACATCCCCAAACTGTTATCTACTGGTTAGTGCACTACTTTAGAGAAGGTAGCCACAGCTTTCATTCAGTTAATAAAAGAGAACTTCATCTCCACATGCCACACAGGATGTATCACAACTGTAGGTGGACATGTACTATACTGCTAATCAGACATGCTAGCAACAATTTTAATCAAAGGTGTGCATTTTTGCTCTGAACAGGTGACTGGAGGAGAAATATAGCTAATTACATTTCCTAAATTTAAATTTTCTCATAGCATACATAGTTCTTTTCTTCTTTGGTGCATTACCATTGGCAAGACAGGTAAGCACAAAGGGTGAGGGATCCATTCTGTTAATAACAGACTCATAGAAGGACAATTTGCAATCCTTCACCTAACAATATAGAATCTTTATTACATACCAGGTAGAAATCAAATATATGTGTCTGTTGGAGTATAACTCTTGATCATTTATCATAACACAGAAAAGATAAAATTATTCCAACATTAACCCTAAATTGAATTTTTTCTAACATTACTGTTTACTTCTGAACTTCCCCTGCATCCAAGAAACATCCGTAAACACATTATAGCGCCCCTACAACTCTATCTACTTGCCATCTGTCTTTATTCACAGGTTAAACCCTCTGGCAGCAGAGTTTTGCAAGAGAGTTTCTCTGTTTATAGTTTCTGACTCTGACACCCTGTTTCCAGATGCCACACTCCATTTTCTTTGCTCATGTATACCTACTGCCTACATTGAGTCAGAATGGAAAAGCTAAAAGTTAGGCTCAAATCGAGGTCAAAAGTAGCACTTACCCTCCAGGAACCCTGTGGTTTTTGGATAAATATAGTAAGTGCCACAGTTATGTGCCTATTATGAGAAAGTGTTAACACTATTACCCAAGCAGAGAAAAGATACAAAACACTTAAAAAATAAAAGCTACTGTAAAACAGGTTTTTCCTACTTTTAAAACACCTAATGGAGAAAAAAAAAAATCATGAAAGTCTAGGATTAAGAAAAGTTCTGATAGAGGTTTAACTGACTGCCAAATATAAGAATGTATTCAGAATACATACTCTCATGTAGAATTAAGGTTAAGCCCACAATTTAGAGCCAAATTAAGAAGTACTAACCAAATAATTACTTCTAGGAAAATGGGTTAAATAACACAGATGTTTGCTATAAATACCGTTACCATTATTACTGTCAAGGGGGTCAGGGATTCCGCAACACTTTTTAACCTAAGCAGACTAATCTCTTCAGATTGCCTAGAGACCAATGTCTCCTGGCAGTAACTTGGAGCATATTCCTAAATTTAAGCTCCCCTGGGGTGATTTCAGACATCTTGAGAGAGACTCCTTAAGTAAACTTCTTCAGAGTACCTTCCAGAGGTACCTACACTCCATCAAGAACTGTACAAGCATTTAACAGAGGCAATCTTTGCTCCTCACTAACAAGTAACACAGGTATAAGTTGACAGAGGAGGAGAGAGGAGTATAATATCACCCAAGAGCACAGTACAACAGGGAAAGCGTAAGAATGGCATACAGACGAGTCAGAGCACACAAACTGCAGAAGCTCCTTCAGTACAGTTATTACACTGCTGCAACATTCATCTGCCTGTGTCTTACTGTCCCAGATAAAAGGTACTCTGCAGTACCTTCTACGCATTTCCACCACCAGAACCTGCCATGTCCACAGTAAGCAAAAATGGGCTTGGACAACAAAGTCTGAGACGCTTCTTCAAGCTTCTCCCTAAAAACCATTTTGTTTCTTTGAAGTAATTATTCCAGATTTTTCAGCACCCACATAGATCAAAAATAAAATCTTTTTTGGACTATGTCCAACACAATAAGAACATACATGCCTGATTAAAAACTGAAATTTGTTTCCTTATTCATTAAATAAAGATCCATTTGTGATTACAGTAAAGTATTTCACACCCAGTGTTTCAAAAGACGTCAAGAAATAACCATAATGCACTCTGAACACTGACTATATAAATGCAACATATGAAGCAGAAAAGACGAGAAAGAAAACTTGTAACACCACAGAGGAACAAACTGAAGACATGACTCCCTCTGTCACTCCATCCTGCCCTATTTCATGCAGACAAATCACTCTCTACCCTGCCTTTCCTATGGGTCAGGAAAGAACAATGAAGAACATCAAGAAGGTTTGCTAGTGGTTCAGAGAGCCGAATGAGGGACATGGACTTCTAGGAAGAAAGAACCTTAGGGTGTTAGGATGCTGAGCCCAGTCCTCTGTGTTTGCAGGCAGCAACACAACAGATGACTCAGCTGCTATCGCCCACACCCTTCAGGCCATAAAATCCTGCCCTGTACCCATAAAAGACTTCAGACATTTTATGAAGAAGAAATTGCTTGAAGACAAAAATCAAGTGCCAAATAACTCCAAAATAAAACAAAATAAAAAAGGATATGCCACCAGTCAGATGCAAATTCTAAAAACTTAATTCTACTCTTTTATTAAGGCTATAGTGGGGTAGTATCTCGAGCCTAAAGAAATTGGAACTATATAGTATGAGCCATTCCTGAAGAATACAACAAATTATATCCCCTAGACCTAAAAGCTTACTTTAATTTCTGACACAAAACTTTACAGGGCTTTCAAGTGATATTAAGCGAAGTGCAAGCAGTTACTACTACTTGAGATCCATTCACGTGCTAAAAATATAGCAATGCAAGTTACCTTGCACTTATTTTCTTGCATACTGATAACTTTTCTATATTCTACCAATATAAAGTGCATACTGAATTTCTTCATATGCAAAAAGCAATTCTAAACAGAAAAGACAACACTTACATACACACAGAAGTGTCTGCTTGTAGGCAGCCTCATTTGAACACCTACAGTCCGAAGCATATCCCACTCTTCAGCACAAAACAGGAGAAGCATGATTCAGCTGTCTAAAACCAGAATGTAATGACATTTGAGGTGCTCCAGTTAAGTGACGCTGTTGTGCAGATCCTGTATCAAACCCATCTGCCCATCTAGATACCTCAAGGATGCAAATGCATGCTAAATTATGCCTAGGAGCCTCATTAAGATCAATGAATCACAATCGAAGTGATTGTGCCTTAAATCAGGTATATACCAGATGCATGCCTAAAATTAGTTAGAACAAATCTGGGCCATTAAAAGTTCTATGAATTCAACAAATGCTGAGACTCAAGGACAAGGTACCTACAGTCAGACACAAGAGAAACATGTCTGGCTCCGGAAACTTAGACACAAAATATCTTTCCCAGGGAGATTCAATCACAAAGATTTTCCTCTGTGATGCAGATGCAACACAAAGCAATAACCCCTGTATCTCAGTTAAGACTAGCAGACACATACTATAGAATTTACACCAATTATTTCACCAGTGATTGGACTGTGGTACTGATTTTTTGTGCCTATCACAGAAAGATATGGATAGCTCCTAGTATGCGAAAACACCCAAAAAATCCCTAACTGTCCTATGCGTCCTCATTTTGGAGAATAAGCTTAGGCATCTAAACAAATGATTACAAACAAGGTCTGAATTGCCATGACTGAAGTAGCAGACTATGAGAAACCATTTCTGAATGACAGACACCAGGGTTATTCTTGCAAAATGAAGAGGGTGTTCAAAACTTGTTAGAAGTATAAAGGAATACTGCCATCTAAATGTCCTAGTTGCAGGGGCCAGGACCAGTTTATTACTATGTGAGTATAACCAAAACTATGTACTCTACACCCTCTATGGAATTTCTGATGGACTGTTAACAATGGATCACTTGCAGTAGCTGCCCAGGACACAGCTAATAACTCAGCTGTGATAACTCCCCTCTGGGGAGGAATTAGCACCTTAACACCCAACCTGAGGGGTCATCTCTGCTAATGGGTGTACTGGACTGGCATAATAGGCAGCTGCAACACCTAGACCATCAAAGACTCCAAAAATATCCCATGAGTTAAATCACCCATTGTGAAACTCCCTGCCCTGGGGGAGATACTGCACATTCCCACCTGAACCTGACCACATATAATCTTCAGGTTTTTTGGAACAACCAGAACTCCAACAGGACTGTGACTGCCACTCTCGACAAGACTGTGATCATTACCTCAATAGAACTGCCACCATTGTCCGGACCAAGAGGCTTTCCTTTCCTTTTACTTTGCACCCAGGGGGGCCACGTGGTGCTCAGCACAGGGACCAATGAACACTGTTCTGCTCTTGTCCCAGGGGCTGGGTTATACATCTGTTTTTGTGGGTTAAAACCAGTTTTTCTCTGTATCGTTGCATCTATTGTAATTTATTTTTAGTAAATTGTAGCTCTGATTTATAATCTCTCTAGAGTTGGGTTCATTTCTCCCACAGGTTTACTTCTAAACCAGCACACTAAATCCTTCCAATGCCAAGTACTCCGAAGTTTTTTCTAATTACTGGACAGAAATTACTATCGCCAGATTCAGTTCAGACCACTGCTTAAGAATGGAGTAAGACAGCTTGGGTGGACTGTGGCTTCTTCAGAGTCAGACAGGTAAGTTCCTCCCAGGTATCTAACTTAAATGACTAAGGTTCAGTGAAATTATTCATAACCTTTTAGGATCAAAAAGACCTCTTACAAATCCTTATCCTATTCGAAAGAAACAATCTGTCCTCCATCAGCTGCAGATAAAACTATGAAAAAATCAACTGATCTTTTCTCCTATGCAGCAGAGAACAATTCATCAACTCTTAGAGTGGAACTTATCTGACTGCAAGAAGACATCTAGGCTAAAGTTATCCACTTCTAACTCTCTGTGTAACCATTTTAGAAATGTGCAATTCAAGGTACAAATCACTATGAACTAATACAGCACAAGCAGCAAGATCAACATCGTTGCTTAGTACT